CAAAGCTTCTTCACGTTGTTCTGAATTCAGCAAGATTTCCATCAGGATCGACTTTGTAGAACGTACCCACGTGCCACCCTTATGAGGTGATCCTGGGGGACTTAAAAAAAAACGACATTTCCAGATATTTTTGCTCTACTGCTGACTATGATATGCGGTTATTCTCCTGGACGAGTACTTTTACTGGCACCTCGAAAATTCAATCCATTTTCAGATAACTTCTTAAAAGGTACACGTCGTCGAGCAGTCAACAACCTTAAAGCCTCGTCCGATAACATCTTAAGAACAACTTCAGAGCCATCAAAAACGAGTCCTTTGATAGAGAGGGCACATGCTCCAGGTGAACAGCGCGAACTGTTATCCAATAGCCTTGCTGTGTAGATGGTGATACTTGCGATGGCAATGCTCCACAATAAGGTATGTTATTCTGTGGCGACGTGAGAGCATAATTTTTTAGATAGCGTCTATTTGACCTTTCATACGAAGCACTATGACTTAGTCATGGTATGGTCCCGATTTTTCCGGTCTTTCTTAAAGCATCTAATTCTTCAGGAACTTTTTTCTTAACATACTTGAACGAAAATATTGTCTATTGCTCATTATAAATCCAGAAAAATCCACTATGTTTTGTTCTGATGCCACCTAACACCATTCATCCATTTCGGATCCTTCCAGGATATCTCCGACTCGTAAAGCCACGAATTAATGGTACTTGCTACCGTATGATCTTATTTAGAACTAAACATTTGCACCGAATTTTGTTGGTTGAAGCGTAAATGTCCTTAACGCTGCAACCAATCGTCAACGAAGGTTTTTCGGAAATCGCTTTTACTGATTCAGGATGACATTAACCAAATCGCTCCGCATTGCGTTTCTGTATAAAATTAGCAAGTGACGGCGAACATGCGCCGCCAATGGTTATATCTTGCATTACAATGTTTCCGGTGGACGAACAACTTCTCCATTGCGCCAAAAATAAACTTCTGGGAAGTATGGTCAGAAACGCGACTGATAAAACCTGATACCGCTATAGGTCGTTCTCTGAAGCACTCCCAGCGAGGACACCAACATATCGGTCCTTTTAGAATGATTCATCCTTTTTGAGTCTCACCAGTTTCACAGGGACGGGTATTCCGACTGGCTCCAATGAGCAGTTCGCCTTCATAGCTCCATCAAGTAACCATGTATCGTACAGCGATAAGATCATGATTTTCAGCTTCATACAAATGTGGATAATTCTTAAGAATTGTAACACCGATGCTTTGCAATGGATTATTTTTGCAGATTATTTTTGATTAGACTCAGTCTGTATCACGTCGCTGGTCCACTTTAGGCAAAACTGACTAAAAATCGTTGTTCTTCAATCCATGATCCCCGCCGCGCTATGGACAGGACAATTCTTCTTCTCCTTTGTTATTCTTTTTCACCATGTCGTGCTCGAGTAATCGTTCATATGAATAATCTCAACGTTGTTGTAACTCTTATAGTTCCTGAGATCTCAGCGTTCATACAGACAGACGGACATGGCCTTATCGACTTCGCTATTGATACTAATCAAAAATATATATATTTATAGGGTCGGAAATGCTTTTTTCTACCTGTTACATAAATTTCAACGAATCTAATATACTCTTTTACTCTACGAGTAACGGGAATAAAATTGAATGTAACCATGTATGTCCACTATAGAATAGTAAACAGCTGGTCCGACTTTGATGAAATTTTTTGTACGTAAAAAATTCTTGAAAATTAAAAATGAGAAAAATTGATTGAAAATTTGTAAAATTGATTAAAGTTGCCATTTCTAATCAGCTGGGCTATTAGGTGATGGCAGCACTTTATTTTATAGTTGACAGCTCTAGCGTTTAACAGCTGAGGGAGTATGTGGCAACTCTCTAGAAATAAAGCGGCCCTTTTTTAAACAAATAAATTGCAAACTTTGTTTATTTTTTTGAAGGTTTTTTATGTGATTTAAGTAATACAAACGTGTATAACGATAGATTATAGTTAATGACATATGTTTGGCAATCGCTAACAAGAAACTGGAATACCTACCCCAAAACGACGAGCAAATGACCTGCTCGATTGTGAATTAAAACGAGAAACAAGCTTTGATTCTGTCGAACTCGGACATGTGTTCAAAAAAAAACTTCCGCAGTTGGTTCCAGAACAACGCACTGCTTATGACACAATTATGCGTGTAATCACAGAAAAAAGCGGTTGACTATTTTTCATAGATGCGTCGGTGGTACTGGAAAGTTTTTTCTTCTATCGCTTTTTTTGGCAACCACACGATCAAAAAATAATATTACACTGGTCATTGCATCATCTGGAATTGGTGCAACTCTTTTGGATAGAAGTTCTTAAAACGTGTCAAATTATTCTATGGGACGATTGTACAATGTCTCACATGAAAGCATTGAAAGATGGATCGTATACTACGAGATATAACAGGAAACGCACGGGCTTTATTGGAGCACTCATTTTATTGTCTGGTGATTTTCGACAAATACTGCCGGTTATACCACGTTCAAGCGTGGTAAATTAACAGGTGAAGACGTACTGTTGCGACGTATCCCAATGATTCCGACGGATATGACATTCAAAAGCCAGCAAAGCACAAGGACAATCAGTGCAAGTGTGTGGACTAAATTTGGAGAATACATGCTTCTCACATGGGCAGCTCTATGTGGCCTGCGCGTCGGAAAATCTTCTGAGTTATTTGTTTACGCACCTGATAGAAAAAAAGAAACATTGTATATCCCAAGCCACTTTAATAAATGTTGAATAGAAACATATAGGAACATTTTTATATTTGTTTTATTTTGCCCGCGTATAAACCTTAGATGTTCAAAGAATTAATAAAATCTAGCGATCGCGTCTATTAAGTATGGACATGATTTATAATTTATCATTTCTGTTTACTTGCTAGATGTACATTAAACATTACCTTGTTATCCCCTAATTTGATTTTTAACGCCTATAGCGTAATAAAAATGTCAATGGCAATAATAATTTGAAAGTGCTTAAGACTTATCCTTTCCCGTCAATGGTTTTGTGGAAATAATTTTGACTCATTACAAGTACCATATGTCTTACATACTACTCCATGGTTTCTCACTACTGTTTTCCTTTATTTTCCGAATCTTTTGAACTTTTATATATACTCATAGACTTATTCGTCTCTGATTCCCTATGCTTTCTCCATATCAGGGAGCGTGCAGCATAGTTGTCTTTCCTGGTGTCCAGCATTACTCTCGTCAAAGCTCTGCTGCTTTCGCGATTTCATCGGCTTGGTCCTCCCTGATAGTCAAACTGGAGTCTATCAATCTCCCAGTTCTTACTTGGATGCTGGCTGTTTTCACCCGTTTTGGCTAGATTTTGTAGTGCGCCACGTTGAGGCCGATTGTAAAGAGCCACTTCCCTACCATCACCACAAAAGTGTTTCCGAGATGCTCTGCTCCGTCAATTATTTTTGGTACTATGTACATTGCTACGTCATCTGCAAAAAACTATTAAGAACTCCGTCTTAAATAGCATTTCGCAATATACTGACCCTCAGGGTTACTCCGCAGCTAACCGCATGCTCCATAAATTCTCTAGCAGTGCCGTTGAGCAGGGTTCGTTCGCACCATTAGACTTATAAATGCACAGATTTGTATATGCTGTATGCTATATGCATTTTTATGTGCAGGGTCACCACCAAACATTACTGCTTTCTATCACTCTTACATCTGGTTACCTAAGCAATGTTCTTTTGTGCCGCATTAGGGTAGATTGTTGATTCTGATTCCTTCTGTGAGGCACTGACTGAAGACGTTTACAAAAGCGATTTTCGAATAGTCCTGAGTGTGTCCTGCGTCCCTTAAAGTACAGCAGGCTGGGTCGCTCTATGATGCAAACGCCTGGCCCGCAGGCTGTCACTTCGGGCACCAAGGATCGGGAAAATTGAAATAGGACTCCTGTGTTCTACTTCCTGGACACTATGTGTTTTTAGTCTTATGCTCGATTACAATGTACATTTATTAAGGCGCCTTGTGGCTCGCGAGAACAAGATTAGAATGTCAGCTCCACATGAGTATGCTCTGCGCCCATATTAAGAAAAACTGCATCCACGGATGTAAAGGCCTTTAACAATGTGCGTCTTCCGCCTTTTGCGTAGGGAGATCTCATTCAGTCGGCCAAGCATTAATGTCACCTAAGATGGCAAATCTTTGCTGTTCTTTGTTCATCCAGGAATGCCGCAAATTCAGGAAAGGAGCGATATCGGTTCCGCTATCGATAACAGAACTTCCATCGGTGCTTGGTATTGTACTTGTACTGCTTGATTCCCATCCTCATCTCTCACTGCTTGGTTGCAGTTCTCGGGCTTGCTGTTGACGTCATTGGCAACTTCTTGCGAAGCGGCTCTTACTTGCACAAGAATGTTCAGGAGCTTTTTTCTACCATCTTCGATTTCAGCGCGTATTTGTTGTAGCGACAATACTCCTTCGTTCTTGAAGCCGTTTGCCGGAATCAGTTCCAACCTAGCATCGGCATTCTCCACAGATAAATCCTTCTTCAAGTCATCTTCTAGATCCAACTCCTGAGACCGATCAGCAAAATTCTCGTTTTCGCCGTTCACAAGTAGGGGGGACTCCGGGCGAGTTCCACGAACTATTTAATCGTGCCGCGAGTTCGGCCTTTTTTCCGACTATCGGCAAGTTTACGCCACCAACCGCTATTTGAGTTGGACGACCGTAAATTTTTGTGCATTAATTAGATCCATTTTATGGGTCAGATCCCACTTATAAATTTGTAAAAGTCTATTTGTAGGTCTCCATTATTTCACATCTTAACCGAGACTGAATCCAATCGCAATCATGCTTAACAAAAACGATCTTATCTTAGCTTAACTTAGGTTCTTCGGTTACCGGAGCTTTATCGATACTTAGTGACGGTGTAGTCAGCTGACTAAAGCGGTTTAAATAATAAAACATTCTTTTTACATTACATTATAGGTTTACTCGAGTTGGCTCACAGAGAATACCAAGCTGTTGACTATGAAAGTGCAGAAAAACATTGCATGCAATTATGGCGTCAAGATAGTACAAACACTGGAGTCCTATTATTGTTGTCATCTATTCATTTTCAGTGTAGGAGACTTGATAAGTCAGCACAATTCTCAACACTAGCAATTAAACAAAACCCGTTGTTGGCCGAAGCGTATAGGTGAGTTAATTTTTACTTTACTTTCTTATTTCTATGTATACATATACATATATAAGATCTATTCAGTAAAAACATTTTTTGTGTCTGTCGGTCGGCTTGCTAGTAGGTGAGTGAATCTATCAGTCAAATCATTTGATTCACTCCGATTTTCTGTCAAGTTTGTCTGTCTTGTCTATTATGGGTGTCTTGTCTGTCTTAAGGAAATACCAAATATTCATCTGAGAAAACTGATCGGAAGTATCATGCATTCCACATCTAATTCGGAATATATATTTCTTGCCTTTTCTTATTTAATATTATACATTGGGAAGCTGGTGTTAATACTATAAGTTAAATATAAGTTAATTTTAATGACCTTTTTTAATATTAATTCTTACTTTCACGCAAGCCCGTTGGGGCAAGGATACATTTATAACAGATTGGGTTTATTAAGTTTCTTTCATTTATTTCACCTAAACCTGTTAAGGTAAAGGATAATATAAAGAATGTGTTACAATTATTTATTACACAGCTATGGCTGCGGAGTATGATTTTAAACTAAACTAAAGGTCCGATCCGGCTGCAGCTAGAAGTCTTCGTCCGGTCGCAGCGCTGTCGCCAAAGTGCCAGATCAACAATTTTATCCAGGTGCTCGCTGCGCGAGTGTTCTGGCCGGGAACCGTGGGATTGACTCCAGAGTGCGGAGTCGACGATTTCTTTAATGCCCCTGTTGGCCACTTCTGGTCGGGCTCTGGGTGATTGCCCCCAGAGTGCAGATTTGGCGGTTTCTTAGTTGCGCATGTTGACCACTTCTGGCCGGGCTCTGGGTGATTGTCCCCGGAGTGCAGAGTCGGCATATATATATAATATTACAACATATAAAAATATAAATAAAAACTAAGTATCTGATTCTCTAGTTATGACAGTAACAGTTTTTAGATACTGAAAATTGTTTAATGTCCGAAGTATTAGGTTGTCAAAAAAGAATTGCGGTATTTTTTATTGAATTTTCAATTGTTCATAAAATTGGTTACAATAATTCGATTCGAGTCAAATATGCGCCGTTTTGTTCGATGACGCGTTCCCAACGAGATGCCAACTTTATAATGCCCTTTTAATAGAAGCTCGCTTCCCTATTGGTAAAAAAAACTCGGAGAGCCAATTTTCACAGGACTCTCTTGTGGCCAACTTCAGACTACCAAGCGCGTTCGCCATGGACAGAAACAGGTGGTAATCACTTGGTGCGAGATCCGGACTATACGGTGGGTGCAAAAGAACCTCCCATCCGAGCTCCCGGAGCTTCTGGCGCGTCACTAAAGATGTGTGTGGCCTGGCGTTGTCCTGGTGGAAGACAATCCGGCCTCTGTTGATCAAAGATGGCCTTTTCTGCATGAGTGCTGTCTTCAAGCGGTCCAGTTGTTGGCAGTACAGGTCCGAATTGAGGGTTTATTCCCTGCCAATCCCACCAAACACACAGAAGAACCTTCCTGGTCGTCAATCCAGGCTTGGCCACCGTCTGGGCCGCTTCACCGCTTTTCGACCACGACCGTTTGCGCCTTACGTTATCGTAAGTGACCCACTTTTCATCGCCAGTCACCATACTCTTCAAAAACTGGTCGATTTTGTTGCGATTTAGAAGTCATTCGCATGCGTCGATACGGTCAAAGATGTTTTTTTTGCGTCAATTCGTGTGGCACCCATAACGGTTTGAAGACTCATGCCCAGCTCTTGACCGATGCTACGGCTGCTACTATGCCGGTCTCTTTCGACCAATTCTGCGATTTTATCGCAATTTTCGACGACAGGCCTTTCGGAGCGTGGCGCATCTTCGGCCACCTCTACACCAGAACGAAAACGTTGATACCATCGTTGTGCGGTGGAAATGGAAACTGTATCGGGTCCATAAACTGCACAAATGTTATTGGCGGCTTGAGATGCATCTTTGCCTTTATCGTAGTAGTACTGTAAAATATGCCGTTTTTCTCTTTATTTTGCTCCATGATTGCGACGCTATAACTCACGAACGACTTAAAAGAAAAGATTATCAATCAAACATGTGTTAGCGCGTGAAATTAGCTTTCCAAAAAGGTATAGTATGCGACGAATAAAACAAGAACTACGCGCTTTCAGCGCCAACTAGCGAAAATACCGCAAGACTTTTTGACTTTTATATAACCAAAATACATATACATATTTAAGTTAAATATACAACGGTGATCTGAGCTAAGAGCTCGACGACGGACGGCACAAGAAGTCTTACGTCGGGTGCTAATCACTGCTGCCAACTTTTAACAAACAAAAAAAGCTGTCTTGGGCGGGAAGTGTGGAGAAAAAAGCAAAAAAAATATATTTAAAAAGTCCACTAAAAACAAAAGAGAGGGAAAAAAAAGGGTCGGCAGAATAAAAATTTTACCGAAGACCAATTCCTTTTCTCCTACTTCATTGCAGATGAGAAAAAAAAAAAAAGTCGCTTTCCCGCCTCCACAAAACAATCCAAATGAATTTCTAAAAAAGCCAGAACTTCAGCCTCCCGCAATTCATAAATTTTCCCTGCAGTTATCCTTAAAAAAAAAGCCCGTTTTGACGGGAAAAATCCAAATTGGCAGAAGTGGTGCTAATCGACGGTCGTGATTTGTGCGAATTAGGGTTACGATTAAGCTCTCTCACTCTCTTATGTTAATTAGTTCTGGGTCGACAGCCTAATAATAAAGGCACTTTCTTAGTCGGGTGTTTTCATCTTTGTCAACCGCCGCGACAGTATAGCTGAAGCTAAGACCATGCTATTACCTTACGAGAGGAAGGTCGGTAGCACCATCGACACCGACCGTGGCCCCCATCCGGTCTCGGTCCGACTCTGCATCACTGCAGAGGCGTTCACAAGGTGACTGATCGTTATGGGCAGCAACTTGCCGCAACGAGCTTTCCAGAACCTACCACTCCGTGAGCAGCGACGTGCCACAGTGGTAACTTCTTGCACATTCATATTACTAGCTGGAGCCACGACCCGGCTATCAGCTTACTAGAAGAAGTTTAGCAGTTTCATCGTCACTGATCGTGGCCACCATCTGGTCTCGATCGGTACTCTGATCGCTACACGACTGCCCGACCTACCGAGTGACCGGCCGTTGTGGGCAGCAACTTGCCGCAACGGTACATTATAACCAACACATTGTGGGCAAACACTTTGTCACAATATTCTATAACCTTATCTTATAGTCTAACACAGGTGTTCTCAACGCCTTTGCTCTGAATGCCCATTTATTTTTGTAAATGCGCCACCAAATACAAATACATACAACAACCACTGCACTATAGGGAATTTGATCGTTTTTCTCGCCAAAAGTAATATCTCAAAAACTAAGCAAGATATTTTGATTATGTTATTTGATTTGAGTTCATATGGTCAATATATTTCAGATGTGAAAAAAATTGTGGGCGTGGCACCGCCACAACCTCAAGATCATATGATAACTCAAAAACTAAGCAAGATATTTCGATTCTATTTTTTGATTTGAGTTCATATGGTCAATAGATTTCAGATGTGAAAAAATTATGGGTGCTGCAATTCAAACTGCAAAATCAGATATTAACTAAAAAACTAATCAAAATTGCACTGCAAATTTACTTTGCGAACATGTTTGTTGACTGTTTTAAAACACAAGAACAATGTTTGAAATAATAATTTGCAATTTTTTTTTTAGTAATAGAAGGCGCTGCAGCATAATTTAAGGAACAATCAAGCATTGGCTCATTTGAGGTTGCGTCCTTAAAACTTAAATATCTCGAAAAGTGCATATAAGTGCACTTTCTGGTTCATTCGAATAAGAATGAAATACTCTAAAACATAGTCTTTATTTCATTGATGGACGGCTGGACTCACTTTTAATGTCCATTTAAAAATGAGATTTAAATCTAAAAATACGTTTCTTAGACTACTTACATTTTCACCCTATTTTTAAACTATCAAGAATTTTTCCAACATCTGACGTACAAAAAAACATATTCAATTCAAAGTTTTTAATTATATTCTCTAATTTTTTACTTTTCACGATTTTAAAACTGCGCTCAAATCCCAATATTGCCACTGCTTGTAAAGATAAACAGCAACAGCTGTTTTTATCAGCTGATTTCTTCGCAGTTGCGCCATTAGAATTATTAGAATTTCTGTTATGCAACACTTACAATTGATATAATGTGAATGCAATTCAGCTAAAATGATTTAAATTTTTGAAATTTCAAAAAATGTTTTTTTGCCAGAAAAACGGTCAAATTTCCTATATATTTGTACTGGCAAATACCACCTTTGGCTGCCTCTCATTACACAGCGGATGAAACATTGGCGACCGTGGCAGGACGGCTTTTCAGAACATTAACAACTAGGCTGCGAGGGATCACAAGGGATTCAGTTTTCTCAACTTGGACTTTTTCGTTCACATATTATTTGATCTTACGCAAATAATACTAATAAAAAAGTCTGGTTAAATCTAGTTATAGAAGTGTGATTTATTTAACCTACATATGTATGTATGTATATAAGTCTTAAAAGCTTTTCCGAAAACGCAGGCTTGCTGTACCCCAGTTTTACATCAAAAAATTTCGCAGTTACTCTAAAACTGTTGTATTTTTGTTGCGATTTAGAAGCGATTCGCATGCGTCGATACGGTCAAAGATGTTTTTTTGCGTCAATTCGTGTGGCACCCATACATCGAGCTTCTTAGTGACTCCAAGCTTCTTCAAATGGTTTATAACGGCTTGAAGACTCATGCCAAGCTCTTGACCGATGCTACGGCTGCTACTATGCCGGTCTCTTTCGACCAATTCTGCGATTTTATCGCAATTTTCGACGACAGGCCTTTCGGATCGTGGCGCATCTTCGGCCGCCTCTACACCATAACGAAAAAGTTGATACCATCGTTGTGCGGTAGAAATGGAAACTGTATCGGGTCCATAAACTGCACAAATGTTATTGGCGGCTTGAGATGCATTTTTGCCTTTATCGTAGTAGTACTGTAAAATATGCCGTTTTTTCTCTTTATTTGCTCCATAATTGCGACGCTATAACTCACGAACTAGAAAAGATAGTCAATCAATCAAACACGTGTTAGCGCGTGGAATGAGCTGTCCGAAAACAATACTACGACGAACAATAACTACGCGCTTTCAGCGCCAACTAGCGAAAATACCGCAAGACTTTTTTGTTTTTGGCTCTTTTTCAAAATACTAATTATAAACTTTCTATCTTTTTTACTTTCTTTTAATACTATTTAAAACTAAATTAAGCAATTCATATAAAAATTGAAATGTGCTGCACCAACAAGTACTATATACAAAATTCTTATTTAGTAATTTAGGAAATGTGTATAAAGAGCGTGGCCAATTGCAAGAAGCTCTAGACAACTATCGCAGAGCTGTACGCTTAAAACCTGACTTTATTGATGGATACATAAATTTGGCTGCTGCATTAGTAGCTGCGCGTGACATGGAGTCTGCTGTTCAAGCATATATTACAGCATTACAATACAATCCAGTAAGTTTTTACTAAGTTTTCCGGATTACTTTTAAATCATTTTTAAAATTTTTGTTTATTAGGAATTTTTTATATTCGTTACTCAAAGAGTAAAAGAGTATACTAGATTCGTTAAAAAGTATGTAACAGATAGAAGAAAGCGTTTCCGACCCTATGAAGTATATATATTCTTGATGAGGATGAATAGCGAAGTCGATTTAGCCATGTCCGTCTGTCCGTCCGTTCGTCCGTCCGTCCGTATGAACGCTGAGATCTCAGGAACTATAGCAGATACAAAGTTGAGATTAAGCATGATTCCACTAACAAAATGTATATTTTAAAATTCTGTAAAACAGTAACGGGTATCTTATAGTCACGGCACTCGACTAGCGTTTCGTCTTGTTTTATTCAGTAAATAAGGTTTTAAAAACGTACAATTTATTATTGTTTGTTTCATATAAATTTAAATTTAAATATTTTTTCTCTAACCGTTTAAAATTATTTATATTTAGGAGCTATACTGTGTGCGAAGTGATCTTGGAAATCTGCTTAAGGCCTTAGGTCGTCTGGAAGAAGCCAAAGTACGTACATCTCTTTTCGGATATAGGTCACTGTATTGACGGTGGTTGAAATGATTCCCAAAAGGACCACTACCACTAAAACCCGGACGGTGTATATAAATATAAGATCGATATTCAGTAAATTGAGCATTGCTATGAATATATCCATCTCTTTACAGAAAATTGCTCATTTTGGAAAAGAAATTTAAACTAAAACTTTCCTAAAAGTAAATAAACAGAAACTTTTATTTTATATGTAGGCCTGTTACCTGAAAGCAATTGAAACATGTCCGGGCTTCGCAGTTGCATGGAGTAATTTAGGATGCGTATTCAACGCTCAAGGAGAAATTTGGTTGGCAATACATCATTTCGAAAAAGCTGTTACTCTTGATCCCAACTTTTTGGATGCATACATAAATTTGGGAAATGTTCTAAAGGAGGCAAGAATTTTTGATAGGTAAGCAAATTAATTATCTTAAAATTTAAAAATGAGTTTAGCCTTGCAGAGGCTATTATTCGCCAGTACCTTAGTAGTTTCTATGCAAACTAATCTCTTAGTTCAACTCTTTCTATTAGATAAGAAGTTGAAGTCCGATTTTTTGCGCTGAACTTCATAATCCAATTTGTTCAAATTCATACCACGGTGGCATTTATGTGTGCTTACTTAGCGTGCAACTTCATATGCAACCTTTTTTAACCTATCTGTGGGAATAACAATTCAATCAACCTGTTTTTGTATTTCACTACAACTCCCTGAATCAGTTAATCAAAACATCATTTGCCGCAACTTTAAGATACCTGTTTCTGATTTACGCAATTTTAATATATTAATTTTACTTGAGGGAATTCACAAAGAGCCATCTTTTGTCAGAAAAAGCATGTTGAGTATGTGATGGTGACGTCCTTATAACCTAGATTTCTTAATAAATACCGAAATAATGTTCCAATTAAAAAAATCTTTATTAAATCGATAGATATAAACTAGAAAAGCTATACAAGGTCAATCCAAAAAATACATTTAAATATTATGAACGCCACAGTTTTCCGTGGCTTGTGGGCGTTAGAGTAAGCGTGACCGGATAAAAACTCCTGTCGAGCTGCAGTGGAATATATATAATACAAGTACGTATGCCTAGGCCTAACATTCTAGCTTTTATAGTTTTCGGTTTTTCGTATTTTGTTGGAGTTAGAGTGGGCTTGGCCCGATGGGAAAAAAAGTAATACGCATTGGTGAATCATATAAAATCACATCCTTAATACCAACTTTTTATGACTTATAGATACTGAGATATTGGCATATCAAGACTATACTTAATCCCAACTTATTAGGTCTAATTGTTCCTAATGACAGGATGTTGAAATAAACTTGCGCTGCGTTGGGTACCTGCATGCTTAATCTTAACTTTGTATTTCTTATAGTTCCTGAGATCTTAGCGTTCATACGGACAGGCGGACGATTCGGGTCGGTAACGCATTCCTCTACCTTTTAAATACTTTTCAATGAATGTTATAAAATATAAATATAAAATGGTTTCAGCACCAGTTTCTACTGCAATAACAAATTTTTAAATATTCCAGTAAAAAATAATCAGATTCGTTGAAAAGAAGGTAACAGGTAGAAGGAAGATTTCCGACCCAATAAAGTATATATAATATATTCTTGATCAGGATCAATAGCGAAGTAGATTGAGCTATGTCTGGCTATCCGTCCGTCTTTCCGTCTGTCCGTATGAACGCTGAGGTCTCAGGAACTATAAGAGGTACAAAGTTGAGATTAAGCATGAAGATTCGTACGCATCGAAAATTTTTTTCAGCATCCTGCCACGCCTACACTAACGCCCACAAATCCTGGAAAACTAAAATCGCTGAAATCTCAGGAAGTATTAGAGTTATAAAGTTGGAATTAGGTATGTATAATCTTGAGGTTCCAGCACATTTCAACGGGGTTCCATTATGCGGCCACGCCCACCAAGCTAGAAAGAGGATTTTCGCTGTTTACAGAAAGGCTGATATCTCGGTAACTATAAGTGACAGAAATTTGGGATTGTTCAGTTATTTTTTTGTGTTATTTCCAATACGAATTATTTTTTTCTCATCTAGCCACGTCCACTATAAGAGCTAGAAAATTGGCTTAGGAATTCTTGTTTTGGATATGCAATTTCATATCTACATGGGATTTAACCCGTCCACGCCCACTCTAACGCCTACAAACCGCGGAACACTGTGGCGTCTATAATAATATTATGAATGCCTTTGACGTTGTATAACTTATTTCTGTTTATATCTATCGATTTACCAAAGATTTTTCAAACGAAACATTATTTCGCTACTTATGAAGAAATTTAGGTTATAAGGCCTCACATGGGCAGTGACGTCACTATCAGTTACTCAGCATTCTTTCTCCGACAATAGGTGGCGCTTGGGGAATTTTAACTAGCAAAATGAATATTATAAAATTGTGTAAAACAGTAACTTGTAGCTTACAGTCGCGGCACTCGACTATATCGTTTCCTCTTGTTTTTTATGAAGCAAAGCTCACAGTGCAGATTGTCGGGAGTAGTCAATAACAAAATAATAATTTACAATTTGGTCTAAATGCTAAATTATCTTTTTCATCTGTAGACAAGCTGAGAGAAGCTCTCGTCTCATTGCATTTCGTTTTGTATCGCAGTCATCGCGCTGCTAAAATAAATCGTAGAAAACAAAATCTCTCCTCCTTTTCTTTTGCACTTTTCATGTAGTTATAAATTGTAAATAAGGTATAAAACAGGTGGCATAAATTAATGCCCTCCTCAAAACACAGATTTTATATTTAAATAATGTTTGGTCAAAAATATCATTTAAATCACAAACTTAATCTTTGCTTGCACTTATATTTGCCAAATCAATTAAACATTAACAAAAATCGTTTGAAAAACTTCAGCATGTGTTTGATCATATGTTAGAATAATGTGTAAGGGATCACATACATCAAGCATACACCAAGATTTAATTAGTTATGATTTCTTTAGTTTAATTCTGAAAACGTGTACTACTAGTTTGCGGACATCAATAAAATTAATAAAATCCACTGTAAGTGCTGATCGACTTGACTATATGTATATGTATATACTCGATAGGGTCAGAAATGCTTCACTTTACCTGTAACATACTTTTCAACAAATATGTCGGAGAATTAAAGTCTTCTCCACGCCGGCCCTCATCAGTCGCTTGACCGCTAGCTTGCTGCTACTCCATTTCAAGTCCTGGATGGTGCTGCGAGTCTTCGTTGCCTTTGTTGCTCATAGCCGCCACTTACTAAAAAGTCCTCAACACAACGCTAAAACAGAACGCCACGCTTAAACTAGGGACGAATAGGAGTAAAGTGTGAAGAATAGAGAGACCAGATCCAGCAACACAACGAAGCAACACACGACCTCAGTTCGCAAACTAAGTCCCCATCATACCAGAACTGGTGTATCCTAGCACGACCTATGGTCACACCATAGTCTCGGTCTAACGAGAGACTGACTTGTCTTTTCTCCGACAAATACAATAAACCGTATTACTCTACGAGTAATGGGTATAAAAAACAAGTAAAAGTTAATCAAGTATCGCAACAAAAATCAGAGTCTTCAAAAACCAGTTGCCTGCATACCCTAAAATGCCAAATCAATCATAGGAAACCCTTTTAAGGGGGAGGAAGTGACATAGGACAGGTATGGTCTAATTTGTCTTTTGACAGTGCACATTGGGATGAAATGCCTTTTTTTTGGCCATAGCCGTAATTTTAAAGCTAGAAAGTTGAAACTTGGAGAATTTGCTGCTTATATTATTTTTGAATTTCAGATTTTTTTTTACACTACAACCATGCCTTCCTTGCCGCCCACATAATAGAACTGCTGTATTTATAAAATCATATTAATTATACTCTTCATTTTTTTTTATCCACAATTGCTAGAAAATTTTTATGTTTTAATATTTTTGCATATTATAATATAGCTTAATTAACGAAAACTTAAAAATAAGTACATAAACTTGTATTAATATAAACGTTCTTCTTCTAAATCAAAATCAAAAAATGGTATACTTTTAATCTCGTCTTCAACACTATATACTTGGGCTGCATCTTCCGGTTTTGGAGAAACTAAAAGTGCAATAACTTCACTTGGCAATGAGTGTGATTTTGAACTCTTTTTTTGAGCGATGCTTGATAAGTAAGGATCAGAAGAATCCAAAGCTCGGTGAAATACGTCGGTTAAATTGTTCACTCTGCTCTTTTTCCTGGTATGCAAAATCCTATCGCGCTTGTAATATTTGTTGCGAGCCTCAGATGCGTTTTCGCCTAAGCAACCAACAGGAAGTACAGATGATTTAATTATTTCTGGACCATGAACTAAAATTTTGTGGACCGTAGCGGTCATTGGATACCACGGATATTTAATTAAATGCAAACGCAGCGTTTCTTCACAAAATTTCTTAAACTTATTTAAACAAACGGCATATTCGCATGATAAAACTATTAAAATGATATGTAGTTTGTTTAAAAGCGCTCATCCAGTTGTAATATTGAGGCAAATAATTTAACATCCGAAAATGCTCTTCGTGCCGTATTGCCATCGTTCGAATTTCCAGAAACATTCTGACTTGGTTTGTTAATATGCAGCCCCATTTCAGATCAAAGCTTTCGCTCAATGTCCTTCTTGCGTACCATCATTATTTCTTTCTCAGAGTCCGTACTAATTCGCCACTTTTGAATACTAACACGATATGAGATGTTAAGAACGAATTCCAAAAACCTAACCCATGCGTAGAGAGGACTAACTCCGTACTGATATGAATTTGGTTTAGGCTTGAACTTTTGACTGTTAACCTCACTTTTCCTTAGCTTCTCTCACCTTTTCGTAGCTTGGATATATATTGCAGTTTTTTTCGATACTCTTTAAGCGTATGTTAATATATTGCTGCTTGGAAAACGAGTTTTCTATAATAAATGCTAAGGCCTCATCAGGTGATAATGGTATAGGCTCTTTCAATGAAGGTTGTTGCCTTAATTTTGAACTGTCAGAACTATTTATTGTCGTATTTAAATTGTGAGAAATATCCGTATTTTTGCCTTCTTAGCAGACATAGCATCTGCTTCAACAAGTAGAAGTGTTGAATTTTCCTTTGCAAGTTCGGAAGCAAATCTTCTTTTATGCAGTAAACTTCCTTCGTCATAAGAGACCCGAGGTCGTCCACCAAGATTACGATAACAATCATCTTTTGAATAAAATATTAGCTCCGATGCAAGCCAGCTAGCATGTTCTTCTTTAAAACGACGAATATTTCGGTGTGCTTTTATTAGCAGTCTCTTAACTTGAACAATAAAGGTTTTTATTTTGTTTTTAATCGCCTACAAATCGTTTCCCGGAAATTTTGGAATTTCTTCGACGCAAACCCAGTCAAAAGTAGCGTTGACATTGTGATTTTTATCCA